TTTATTTAACATATTATCTCTCTAACAATAAAATGTATATCACACACACAAAATAATAAATATGTATAAGAAGTGATGTGTGTGTGTGTCTTTATAACATATACAGGATATGTTACATAAAGTGTTATAATTTTTTTTCTGTGAAACTATTAGAGATGGTGAGAAAATTCTTTTGGCAGTTTTTATGATTCGTTGGGGCCTTTTAAATGACAAACAAGGTATCGCCGTCAGGCTCTTCAAAAAGTTATAACAAAATTATACTTTATTTTTTTTATGGAATAGTATGTAATGTTTTTTTAATGTATGTGATAACATTTACTTAATATGTTTTTTTCATATTCTGTATAGATTATGATTATGATCTAATAATTTTAAATAATTTGCGTCATAATTCTGACGCAAATTATTTAAAAAAAATCATAGGTGTGGCCGAGAATGCCACATCAAACATTTAATGACTACCAATGTTGAAACGATATAATTTGTATCTAATAAAAATTTTCTTCATCGGAAAATAGTATCGTGAATAAAACAGAATGATTCCAATTAAGTTCCTGTTCTAACTACATACAAAAACGATGTTAAACGGTGTATTCGGTGTTAATAATAATTTTTAAATAGATCTTGATGTAGCGAAATGGATGATATTTATGCTATTGTAGAATGTATGATGGACTCTCTGAACTGTGACTAATTTCACATTTCCTTACTAATTGACGTACGCGGATTTCTATATTTATATTCCTTATAGTCAGTATATTTGTAGCATTATTGGTATTTGTTGCGCTTTTTTATTTGTTTCACTTCGAATTTAAACTACTAATATGACGAAGATGTTGCTCCAATCGTAGGAATATAATATGAGATTTCCCAATATTGTATCTCGCTGCAAACTCTTGAGCTGCTCGACAATTTTCTTGGCATTTGTCTAATATTAATAGCATATTCACACATTCATCAAAGTTTGCCATTCTTTAAGGAATCTATATCGCCTACTGAAACTATTTTCCTATTGAATTAAACTAGTCGAACTAGCAGATATGTTGAAAAACTGTCTTGAGAAATAGTCTTCAAGCCACTAAAAAGTAGTTTTCGTCATAACTCTTTAACTATGCCAAATATGAAAAAATATTGCTTCCACAGCTTTTTTCATTTGCTCTGTATTCCATGATTTTTGTTTTCTTTGTGGCTTTGATGAAATGTTCGTTCGAGGCATCTTCAAAATGAAGAGAGTTATTAACTATACAAAATTGACATCTAAGACAACTTTTTAAAAATAAAAAGGACCATTACAATCCCTGCATTTAATATGGGCCATAATACCTGCAGTCACAGGGGGTCATCTTAAATACATTAGTATATTTCCAACAATATAATGAGAAAAAAGATAAAAGTGAAAAAATGTGTATTTATCTTTAGAACGTCGAAGTATACTTGTTTTCACTTATCATAAGAGATTCACTTTCAACTCAGTTAAAAAAAAAAAAAAAAAAAAAAAAAACTACAGGTTAAAAAAAAATTTCATTTTTCATGTGCACTTAAAAATGTTATAACACAAGTTAACAGTGCACAGTAGCGTCTATCTAGTACGTAAAATGTTTTATGACTAGTAATCTTTCTAATATTGTACATAGCCGGGATATTAGATGGCGCTTACAATATATAAAATACATTAGGGGGCCAACTTATCCGCAGGGGGCCACCTTCTCCTCTAATTATTATATAAGAAAAAAATGTTTAGTTTAATATAAAAAAATGAATTATATTGTTTGCTGATACCTGGGAAAAAAGATCAGTTAAATGTTGGTTTAGAGATTATCTATTTGCTATTTTTAATATGACTTATTTTTATTATGACTTATATTAATCATACTTATCTGTATGTGACTGTATATTATATTTATTACTATATTATACTATTAGTGTACTACAAGGTATCCCATTTTAATCTCCCCCCCAAAAAAAAACTTTTTTATTTTTGATTGTAGAACAAAATGCTTCAGACAAAAGTTGTTTTGAAGGAAGTCACCTGATGGTGATCTTCATTTGATCTTGGATTAAAGTCCAGAGGATTATCCCAAGATCAACTTTATTTTGTTAAACGGAACCCCCTATTTTTTATTGCATATTCATATCCCTTCTTGAGACCTTTTCAAAACACTAGGGGACACCCCATATATTATTTTTGCTTTATAAATAATATGTTCTCGTAAAGTTATATACATATATACAGACTTCGAGGAGTAACAGGTATTCTTTTTTTTGTCGAGTCAAATCTCTTATTTACTAGAAAAAATATCATAAATCATTATTTATGAAAAAAGTATGACACATTCGTGTATATATGTGAAATAATATTTTTTTAGTTTTTTTTTGATATGCATATTTAGATGCGTTCTTTAATCGATGACATTCACAAATACTATGTAAACTAATATTTGTTTGCATAGTATGTAACAAATCCCATTGATGCGACTGATGTTTTGGCCGTTTTAAGTATTCCGTAAACCTTTTTGCGTAAAAAATAAATCTTAATTTAAAAGTCAAAATCTGCACTTGGTTCTTTTATAGACTTCGTCCAGTACTTTCCGACTGTCAATTGTACTAGTATTAATTACTGTAACCGGTTTTTGGAATTTTTGCTTGCGTCATTATCAAATATAATGGCGGGGATCAATCAGCTCAATAAGATAAACTTATGTTTTACTAAATACTGCAAAATGTTTTTACGCACATACATATAATATACATAATTATTTCTAATCAAAAAGTTTCAAATTGTTTGTTTGACAAGTTTGGAGAATTTTGAGAATTTTATATTATACCCGACAAATTTTATTATACCCGTTAATTTTTTCTTAACAAAACAGCTTATCAATAATTGCAAATATCTACAAAAGCAATACTTCTTAATTTTCAAGAATAATGTAATGTTGCAAACACTCTCGAATATTGTACGCGCGCGCAATCATTTTAATTGCTATTTTTTATATAATCTCAATATAAACTTCAAAGGATGTAAAATTTTAATAAGCGCCAATAATTTTTGAAGTGTCCAAAAACATGTGAAAATTAACCGCTAAGTCTGCGATGATCGCTCTTACCCAGCTCAATGTCGCCCGCTTCTAGAATCTCGTTTAACCAGATATAGGATAGCAATTCTTTCAATCGAGGAGGAAGTGATCAAAAAACTCGATTACAAATATATTATAGAAATATTCGCAAAGGTTAAGGCCAGAAAACATAATTTTCAAAAATTGCTTTTATTTTATTTTTTTACAAAACGTATTATTAAGAAAAAAGATATAAAATATATTAATCCTCAACAATATTAAAACAAATATAAAAAAAAATATATTTACAAAAATTTTAAAATATAAAAAATATAAAAATGCAAAAAAAAAAGAACGGAACCATTATTTTGCTACATTCTCGTCGTGATTCTGAGTAGCGCTAAAAGCAGGAATTTTTGAGGCTATTTCTTTATTTGCTTTTGCAACTTTGCGTGAGGGCGCGTGAGCGAATTGCAGCGTAAGACAGTCGTAACGGTACTGAAAAACTTAAAAAAAAAAGTAAAATAGATTGCAGCCTATATGATATTAAATATCGCCAAAATAATTGATTTAAATACTTTTATTGAAAATATATTACAAAAAATATTGCTCCGAACTTTCAGTGCGCAGAAGTCTATTCGTCAAAACAATTAACACGTTTTTATGCGCTTTTTTTTACAGATCTCTTATCATATCTATAGCAACACATTTTTTGCAAATCCATAGATCGATTCAATATTCATTTGAATCAAGTCTGCTCAAAGTCTTCGAAGTAAGAAGCTATCAATCTCTCGTTGTTTGATTTGTTCCTGCTAGTGCGTTGTGCGAGGTTAAACGCACATTGCGCAGATTTCTTGAGACTTAAAGGAATCTGGCAATTTTGAAAAACAGATTTTTTTCGGCGTGATGAACCAGTCTTAATGTCATGGAATCCAAGAAAAAATGAACTTATGTAAGTACTTATATATTAAATATGTATATAAGATTAATGGATATGTATAATTATATTCAAAATTTGGCGCGACTGTATATGCGTATATACAATTGCGTTAATTTTCGGATATAATTATATATGGCCATATATGATTTTATGTCCAATTTTTCTCGGGATGATTTTTTAATTTTTACTTGACTCCACCATTTCGCGCGCGCAAAAGATCCTTCTGATATTTGATGATCAAGAAATGTATGCCTTTATCAATATAATCTGAGAGTAATATTTAATAATATTTATAATAATGCTAGAAATCGCGTAATATATAATGCTAGAATACTATTTGATTGTTAATTAAATCTCAATGATTCAGCTGATATTTTCTCTTGTACTCACATCTGTAAAACGCCTGCTTATTTACAATTTACATGTAAACATACAAAAGCGAGCAACACTTGAAATGTAAATTTCACGCGTTAGCCTTATGAGTGTCTTTTTGGCACTGTTGTTTGGAACTGGCCCATGAGCAGTTTCGGATCTTTTTTATTTTTTTACGCCATCCTTTCTCGCGAGGATGGTAAGAATATGGTCACTCTCTTCTCGGTAGTAAAACGTTATGAGAAAGACAGGTTTGATTTTTCATACAAGAAACAGCAAACATTGATTGCTCGCAAATAAAATGTAATAAATAATATTATAAAAAATATGTATCTGAAAAATCTTTGATTTTGTATTTTTCATAACTTTAAATTAAAATTTCTAAAAAGAAAAAATCTAGTTTTATGTAATCTAGAATATATGTATTTTATGCAAATAACAGTAAATACTAATATTAAATATATATGCATAAAACATTCTATTCATAGTTTTCAATGACGATCACAATTATAGGCTTCCAATATGAATACATTACGAGCAAATGAAACAGTATATACAATTGCTATAACCGGTGGCTGTACTGGATCTAAAAGGAAGGTCCATGGTGGGGGGGTAGGTTTACCACCAACGACGGTATAAAGAGGACCGCACACAGGTCTCGTACGCATTATACGCACGATTGGAAAAGAGGGAAATTATATCAACGACAGCGGCGACTCACCAAGACAGTGTACAATCGGCAAATGAAGTATTTTTCTATTGCATTTTCCGAAATTCTCTATTCGTTAGTTTCAAAGTAAACGGCGCTTCAGTGAAAGTATTTTTTTTCGTTTAATCCTCATCAAATTTGTTTTCGCGCGGACTCGAAAGTAATTGTGATAAGTGAACCTTGATTTTTCCGTTAAAGTGTCAATCCCATTGTTGCGCAGATAACACTATCTCGCGCGGCCTGCTGGTGCATCCCTTGCAGCAAACAAAAAGTGCGTAATTCTCTGCTCTCTTTCTATTGTATAAAAATGTTATAAGATAAAATAGATATAATTATAAAAAAGTCAAGCAACAATCGTAATGGCAAAATTAATTTATTTTATTTAAAATATGTTTTTTCGGCATGGATATAGCTTTAGGCACGATCAATCATTGACTGATTTCTAAAGACTCTTTTTCAGAATCGTTTTAAATACTCTTGCCGGAACCGTTTGAATCGTCGGAATGCTATCGTAATAAATTCCTTTCATTGGAATTTTTAAAACAGATTTTTTTAAACGAAAGCAGAGTGTCAAATCAGGCGAATATGGCAGCTTTTTAATCGACATATTTCATGACGCGTACGTGCGATGATAATGAAATTTTTACAGTTGATAGACCTGATTTAAGGCTTTAAAACAATATCACTCTTAAATAGTTGGTACTCCTTAACAAATTTAAAAAATTAATCCGGTTATTTAATAGACGCTTCTCGTATATGTATGTATGTTGAAAAGATAGATATTTATAAGATACATACGTATAACGTTTCGCTTTTAAGAATATTGTCATAACTTTTAAAAATTCAATTAATTTTCATATTTAATATTTTGCCTTTTATCAGCTAAACAAATAATGATAAAATTGTTATAATTAAAGCACGTGAAACAAAAAAGTAGATAATATCTTAACATTTTGAATGTTTTTAAACGTGTTTAAGATATTAATATAAATTCTCTCAGACTGTTAGCGGATAAAAAAATCCAAATATTTTAGATGATTTAAGACTGTTCTTTTCTAATGAGTTTGAGATCAACAGAATTATTTATCATATATTCATACTATGTTATATGTAAAAATGAAATATATTTTTTTATCAATAAAGCGTTTTGCTATCGTTATTGCTAGAATATTACTATACGCACGCGCGAGGATATTCTATTTATTATTATACAAAAGTTCTGCTTCTCTTATCGAACCCATCTCTCAGCGAAAATAAGCGATATTATCTCGCAGTTATATTGCCTGTTATATTACGTCCAAAATATCTCTCTGATACTTTTAAATTTATATTATTTAATTATTCAATATGTTATCGGGAAGATATTTTGGGCGCGTTATAACAGATGATATAACTACAAGATAATATTACTAATTATTGCTATGAGATGTAACCGATAAAAAATAGAGCTTTTGTACGATAACAAATTGCAGTGCACTTATTATACTGTAATTAAATTAATAAGAGAAAAAATATATATTATAATCTCCCTTCTGTAATGTACTTATCTGTATATCTTTATTATACTCGTACGGATGAATACATTACATAATTTTATATCATTAATATTGTGTGTATAAATATCACATTCTGCATCTTTTTCTGTATGTGTGTGTGTGTGTGTGTGTGTGTGTGTGTGTGTGTGTGTGTGTGTGTGTGTGTGTTATTTGCTCTATTTTTTTTTTGATTTTGTTATATTGCCTGTTATATTACGTCCAAAATATCTCTCTGATACTTTTAAATTTATATTATTTAATTATTCAATATGTTATCGGGAAGATATTTTGGGCGCGTTATAACAGATGATATAACTACAAGATAATATTACTAATTATTGCTATGAGATGTAACCGATAAAAAATAGAGCTTTTGTACGATAACAAATTGCAGTGCACTTATTATACTGTAATTAAATTAATAAGAGAAAAAATATATATTATAATCTCCCTTCTGTAATGTACTTATCTGTATATCTTTATTATACTCGTACGGATGAATACATTACATAATTTTATATCATTAATATTGTGTGTATAAATATCACATTCTGCATCTTTTTCTGTATGTGTGTGTGTGTGTGTGTGTGTGTGTGTGTGTGTGTGTGTGTGTGTGTGTGTGTGTGTGTGTGTGTGTGTGTGTGTGTGTGTGTGTGTGTGTGTGTGTGTGTGTGTGTGTGTGTGTGTGTGTGTGTGTGTGTGTGTGTGTGTGTGTGTGTGTGTGTGTGTGTGTGTGTGTGTGTGTGTGTGTGTGTGTGTGTGTGTGTGTGTGTGTGTGTGTGTGTGTGTGTGTGTGTGTGTGTGTGTGTGTGTGTGTGTGTGTGTGTGTGTGTGTGTGTGTGTGTGTGTGTGTGTGTGTGTGTGTGTGTGTGTGTGTGTGTGTGTGTGTGTGTGTGTGTGTGTGTGTGTGTGTGTGTGTGTGTGTGTGTGTGTGTGTGTGTGTGTGTGTGTGTGTGTGTGTGTGTGTGTGTGTGTGTGTGTGTGTGTGTGTGTGTGTGTGTGTGTGTGTGTGTGTGTGTGTGTGTGTGTGTGTGTGTGTGTGTGTGTGTGTGTGTGTGTGTGTGTGTGTGTGTGTGTGTGTGTGTGTGTGTGTGTGTGTGTGTGTGTGTGTGTGTGTGTGTGTGTGTGTGTGTGTGTGTGTGTAATTTGCACTATATTTTCTTTGAATTTTTCGTATATAAAAACGCGCGTGCAATAGAAGTTTATTTTTATTAAAATGCAAATGAAATAGTTAAATATGATATATCATGTTTTTATTTATTAGCGCAATCGCTTATTATACAATCTCATGATTTTTGTTGATAATTTATACGTCCTGGAGCGTTATTTTATACGCTACCGACAATTACCGGTGTCTTGCGCAAATATAATATACCGTAGAAAAACCACGTGCAAAAACACATAACGACCCGACAATCGTCAGAATAGCCCTCTTGTTTTTCGATTACAAGTGGTTACACGATAAAATATAATAATTGTTCTTTCATCACAGCGCTTTCTTCAGATCATGTAATTAGCGCACAGAAAAAAATTATCGAATTTTAAATGTTTGATAAACGATAATAACGAGCAGTAAGAAACCATAAAAGCTCGACATCGTATAAAACTTGTATTCTTGATATGATATGGCCCAGTCAAAGATCAATCTCCTTCTAACAGTAAAATCTACTTCTGGCAGCGAAGGAGATACCAGATAGTGCGGGAATACCAAAAATATTAAATAGATTTTGTGCAAAGTATAAATAAATTGCAACAGCAATTAGATATAAAACGATTGAGTATACATTGTACAACGATTGAGTATATTATGTGTGTGTGTAATTACGATAAGATTTCTTTATTCATAAATATTAGCCAAACACGCATTCAAATATTTGATTGTGAATTTACTTGAGTGTAATTGCTGTTATTAAAATTGCGTTTTTAAAGGCCAGAATTCGTTATAATCAGATATTTTTAATACTCTTATATTATTATTAATAAAACATAATTATATATAAAATCTGCAAAATTAAAGTTTTACGTAATTTCCGATATAGTTTTTTTACATTTTTATAAAATTACAAACATAATTTTAAATCGTGATTATATTTTGACGTTTATATTGCCGAGTTTCTTTTATATATGATTATATATAAATAATAATGAATATATTCTAAAATATTTATAAAATTGTATTATTATAAAAACAAAGAGACAACGTAAACTATGCTGTAAAACAAAACATAAATATTTTTATATATAAAGAAATTTATCAATAAAAAAGTACATGTTGCTCGCGTGTTACATTAAAACAGACATGATCAACATAAGCAATAATTAGTACCCCAAAATCATTAGATCACATAGGTTATCAGTAAGTTATAGCATGATAACAAGATAACTAGATATAATAATTATTTATCTTTTAATGATGTTATAAATTATTTCATTTTTTTTTTAAATAAAAACTTAATCCGTTTCCGTCTGAATCGTAAAAGTCATTAACCCGAAATATATTAATAAAGGAATCCAAAAGAATCTTAATTCTGTAATATATTTTTATTATTTGATTTAGCATCTTTTTACATCTCTATTTAAAATGTTAATGCTGATAATAAGAGTGATCATCTGATTTATATATGTGATTTTTATATTATATATATATTTATTAAACAGTGACATTTAATACTGATTACAATCTATACATGTACAGTTTATAAACATGCAGTTTATAGATTTATGCATTCACGAGAAGATTAATGGCACTTTATATAGTAATAACTTTTTTCTATAGATTCATTTACATACATTTATTATTAGCTGATTTCGAAAGGTGTCGAGTATTCTTTCCGACTAACTTCGACAATAGCACACAAATCAGGATCTTGACACTTGACACGGTTCTTTGTCATGTCAATATACTTTAAACACCATCTTTATATATAACTAGCAATATGAGCATATTTTTGAGAAATATTTCTCTATTAACAGGTTCAAGATAAAATTATTTAAAAATCTTTCGTAATATACCAATTATACATAGTTAATCACAAATACAAGTATATTTAAATACATTATTACAAAAAAAATTCTTATTATTACTTATAAAAAAATTAAAAACTGAATTCTATACTCATAAATATTATTTCAAACAAAAATGTGCGTAAAACGGAACCTGCAAAAAAAAATAAATATATGTTGTATATGTATATGTGTGTGTGGTATTATATATTATATGTTTCATATAAATGATTCGGTTATTGCCTAGTCATTTAATTAATATTTGGTACATTCTGTTTTTGGTGTGATATTTAACATATTACCAATCAGTAACAGAAATGATAATTTAAAAATTATATGAAGAATCGAAAATTATAAATAAACCTTTAATTATATATAAAATTATATATAAAAATTATTTAAATTACATATAAAAAATAAGATTTATCACGAAAATTAAAAAAATTAAAAAACATATTTTATTATACAATTTTGGGGATGTAATTTAAGAAAAGGATTCATTAACAAGAATTCAGCGAATTTATAATTAGCAATGCTTTTAATCGGCAAAACGCATACGAGAATAAGCCTTCATTGTTGATCGTGAACTTAAGCATGAACTTGATGACGTGGATTAATGATGCTTTACGCGTATTTTGTTATCAAACTGTGATATATGAATAACGATTATTCATGTATTCATTGTCTAATAGATTGCGTGGTCATATAATGGGAGATAATTGTAATCAACATTTCCAAGTGTGGATAATCTTTAACATTATAAGAAATAAGAAATGTAAATGTACTTTGTACACAAGCAAAAACAATTTGATTAAGCATATTGCGTTGCATCTATTTTAACGTTGGCAATTATTGTTTTATTAAAAGTTTTTGTTGCAAGAGCATTGCAAAAGAGAGAGAAAAAGAGAAGAGCTGCTTAATTGAAAAAGTTGAATCTTTTTTGTTTTTTTACTTTATTATAATTTTTTTATATCAATATAAAAGATATTAATTATAAATTAAATATACATCATCATTATGCATTATTATACACATAAAGCACAATACAATTTAACAATTCCTTTTTTATTTCTGAAAAGATATTAATCATAAATTATACACATCATCATCATTATACATATCATTATACACATAAAGCACAATATAGTTTAACAATTACTTTTTATTTTTATTTTTATTTTTTATTTTATAGTTTTTAATATTTAAAACATGCAATGGATATTTTGTCATTAAAATAAATAATTATTATATTTGTGTAATAAATTATACGTGGCATTCAATATTAGATGGCTATATTAAATATATATTTTATGCTTCTATGTAACGTTGCAAAACGAGAAAGAGCAGATGCAAAAAATGAATAAATTGATATTAACATTGCTAATTTCTGATATATATCTTTATGATGTATTCCATAATGGCGTAATCTGACATCGTCGTCTCGTAAGTCAGCTCGTTAGAGAAGCAGCATAGGGAAAAATCTCCGTAGAGTTTGTATGGAAAAGGATAGAAATGTGACTGTTATGTAAATATGAACAACATGCTATTAGCATCGGCAAACTTACGGAGAATGTCGTTTAAATTTACTTGTATGAATCAATTGTATGAACAAACAGTGCTGCGCGGTCATATGCTCACGTAGCTAAAATGAGCCGAATAGATTTATTAAAAATTTTATTTAAAGCTATCCATTTATTAATAATAGTTAGATAATTTTTGACATTTTTTTACTAAAATAAATTATTAACTAAGATATGAGATTATATGTATATTGAGGCAATCAATAAAGAAAGAGTTTTCTTTTTATAATTAGTCATTTCTTTTCGATTGTATATTTAATTAAAAGGAAAACATAAAACAAATTTGATAGGTGAGCAGTCTTTTCTCTCTCTCTCTCTCCCTTTCTCTTTTTAAAAATTATTTCTTATATACTGATCTAAGAAAAGTACAAACATTTTTAACGAATGTTAATGAATATATTTAACCAGTTCGACGTAGCATTCTTACATATAGTTTGTATATTGTTAACCTTGGTTTATTAATTATATTCTTGATTTGCATAATGGGATGTTCTACATTCATTTCAGGATTCTACAATCAAGGTAAAGAGGGGAAAAACTTACAATAAAACGAAAGGAATCGGGTCGCAGCCATGAAATCTGTGATCGCATTGCAACAATTTAAGAGTGAGTAATGTTTGATTTATAATGTAAGGACGCACATTCCACTTAAAAATAATAACGACAATTATGATTATTACATCACAGAGTAATTCGGAATATGATATATGTCATTCATGCCATCTTTGTATCATAAATTAAATCATGATATTTTGGAAATTGGATTTAGATTGCTTATTTACTAATTACAGATAATTATGTAACTTGTTTTTTACATTACATATTTTCTATAAAATATTACATATTTTCTATTAAATATTACATATTTTCTATAAAAGCAAGCAATAAAGCTGATATCAAAAATTTATTCCACATAAATATTATAAGTGTGACTGAATTGTTATATATAAATCTTGCTTTGTTTCGTATTAACTTTGATTCTACTTAAAAATGGCATAGCTTGCCGCAATTGCAGATATTGTAAAATATTAATCTTATAGATCTTTTACGTAAATTTGTGCAAATAAATGTTATTTTAATTTTATCTCCTATAAGAAATCATATATCACAATAAAACTGTAAAAGATTCATAATAAAATTGAACACAAGCGTGCGTAATAAATGCATATCGATCTTTTATGGTGAGGTCGGCGATCACAGCGTCGTACGAATCTTTAATAACGACAGCTTGGTCAAATCAAAGATTTCGAATGAACGCAATGACCTTGATTGTCCTCTTATATTATCTCTTACAGATAATACTACAGAATCTGAGTCAAGGTAAGTCGCTATCTACTGCAGATTATACATCTTATATTAGGGCACGATCCATGTTGCTTGAGATACACGATATCTAGTAATTGTAGTGCAAGGGTTACTCAGAAATTAACTTCTGGTAGGCTTGCAAAATAAAACAAGAAACAGGAAAAACATTTTATTATACACAAAAGTTATTTACATATATACACTACTTTTTGACATAATCACTATCCGAAATGAGGTACTTGTCATAGCACGGCACAAGTTTTTATAACCCCTCATCAAAGAATATAGTGTCGACAAATTGAAATCTTAGCCAACTTCTAACACTGCTCATCTGCTCCTCATTGCTCTCGAATTGCTTCTTAGCCACATTTTCATGTATGTAAATAGATGACAGTTACTTGGTCCGGGCTATAGAATAAGTGATCGAATTTCCATTGCACTGCTCTAGATGTTCCGATGGGGATTTTTCGAACACCCTATAATCCGGAATTTGCATCAAGTGATTTTCATCTGTTCACACGCATGAAAATGTGGCTAGGTATGCAGTAATACGAGGGCAACAAGATTTGGATGGCGATTATGTCGAAAAGTAGTGTATATATATAAGTAACTTTTATGTATAATAAAATGTATTTTTCTTATTTCTTGTTTTTATTTTGCAAACCTACCAGAGGTTGATTTCTAAATAGCTTTCGTACCATAATGCTAAACGAAATCAGTCAAAATATGTAATTAAAAAGTTTTATCAGAAAATAAAATGTTTAAAGTAAAAGAGAGTGTGTTCAAAACGCATCTTATACTTATTTACATATTTAATCGTATTGTGCGAAAATGCAATTCTGATGTTTTCATTGTTTGAGTGCATAATAAATTTTATGCACGGTCAAACATCGAATATATAAATGATAAAACAGAAACATTTTCCTAGAAAAAAAGCATCTTTCAAGGTTTGCTCAGAGGCTGTTGTCCTCAATATATTTTGTTTCAGTTTATTTATTTCGATCATAAAAATCCTTTTAATATCTTTCGTTTATAGCAAAGGATTATAAACGATTTATAGCAAAGAATTATAAACGATTAACAAGTTTTTCTACGCGTAAAACGTATTTAAGGATTAAGAATAGAATATCTTTATTTATTACTCGCTTTAAAAATTTGATTTCTGTTGAAAATGTGTTTTTGACAAATTTAAAAAGCTTTATCTTGAGTTTTGCAAGCTTTTATTTGAAATTTTAGAGAATCTCGTACAATTTGTCTGGTTTCTTTTTTGTAATAATTTTCTAAATGGGAAAGATTGTAAGGATTGTAAGGATTGCGTGGAATGACAATTTGATAGCATTTCAAGGTTCAAGCAATATATTCTGCAGGTTTTTGAAGTGTAAATTAGACATCTTTTCAAATATGACTCTTAGAAAGATAAGAATAAAAGGATATTTGCGATGCTGTACTTGTGGATATGACCCTGTGAATAGAGAATCACTGATAATATTTATTGCTTGGTAAACACGCTATGACATCTCGTTTTTCTATTTTTAGTTATTATATTTAACCGATGAAGACATCATATTAAGCATAAGCATAATAATAAACCTATTTCTTTTTATTTGGTTAACATAAGTTTAATATTTTAATACAAATTATATATTATAAATTATGTATTACATAGACTAATAACTAAAGGTTCTGTGAAATTTTTTAAAACTTTTAAAAAACTTTATATGTATATTTTTCAATTTATTTATATATTTTTTCAAAAATTTAGAATTTTAAAATAATGTGCTAAAAAAATATAAAAAATTTTGTATTCTTTAACTTTATCTTTTCTATCGAAAATTTGAAAACATTAATACTCAAGATTTTGATGAAATTTCTAAAATCAAGCATTGTAGTTTATTATTTTAAAAATTATCAATGCTTTAATGTAGAACTACAAAATATCTTTTTCCATTCTAATTTTTTATGTTATTGCCAAGATAAGTAGGCAATATTTATTTAATATCGTAGAAACAAATTTGTATTTTTGTATGCTTTCTCTCACTATTTCTTTCGGCGTTCGGAGAATTTTCCTTGAAAGATTTCGTTAGTCATGCAAAATATTGAACGCTACCTTGATAAACCGGCAGTCAAATACAAAAAAATCGTTGCGCGCATGTCACGCGTCACGCACGCACACAACGATCCGACAGTGCCGAACCAAATTCCGATGATCAGACAAAATCAAAGGTAAATGGATGGGAAAATACGTGCCGAAAGACTATTTTTTGACACTTAAAAGCGCAAAGTTGTAAACAAAAATTTCAACAATATCCAATATTTTTTCAACATTCTCGTATTTGACTCGTATACTGAAAACCAGTGGTATGCGTTAATATATCTTAAACTTAACGTGCCTAACATTTAGTGTGCTCCCAGTTACTTGATCGATAAATGTGTCAAAGTAAAACAATATATTCTAAATTGCTATTATGAGTAAAAAAAACTTTATTATATTTTTTGTATGTGCCAAATATATTTATCCATTTTACCATATATGTTATATAAGTTTTTAAGAGATGGATCTGATTGGAAGGAGAGTAGAAAAGAATTTGTGAATAGATGTTCAATGTAATCAGGTTAAAATAATAAAACGTCTCAGAATTTAGATTAAAACATTAAGAAAAAATATTACTTTAACCTTACTGTTTATATCACATACAAAAGTTTACGTTTAATACCATCAATAAAAGATTAGAAAATTTAATTAAAATTTGAATATTAGACACATAAGTTTGCACTAAAAAGTTATAGTATTTTTAATTTTAGAAAAAAAATATATATATGTATAATATACAGTATATACCTATATGTCAACATTTTAATTAAATTCTCAAATTTAATTTTAACTATACTGACATTTGTGATGCTTTAATCTATATCTTTATTTATTATCTATTTATTCTTAAGATAATTGTTTTGATCATTTTATATATATTATGATTTTTACTGTTGCCAATAATAAATGGATCACCATATAGCATATATCTTTACATAACTTTTGTAATGTAAGACGTGCAATTATATAATTTTAAGCAGTGATATAATTGTAAGAAATGTGGTACGAATACGAAAAGTCGATACGTTATCATAACGACATACCGTTATATAACTATTGGCATTAAAACGGTTTTCACTGAGAGCCTCAAGAATTAATGTCGTTGAAAATGAAAAATGCGAACACATACATGTGAAGTTTATTGAGCAATAAAATCGCATAATATAGTTGTTATAGTTGTATCAAATTTATGCTTAAATCGGTTAGCACGGTGTTTCGATAAAAATATTATCCTTTAATTTACTCTTAATTCAAATAGAATAATAAAAATTATGTTGATTTTTATTAACTTGTGGCGTATGTTGCATCATATTTTTTGTATAGCTTTGCAAATACTTATCATAAATATTTATCATCGTTTTGCTACTATACATAAATTAATACATAATTTTGGATACTTTTTGAATAATAAATTTCCTAAAAATAAGTTGAAATTGATTATAAATAATTTACGACCACACTGTCAATGTATGATTAATGCTAAGTGATAATGACAGCTACTAATGATGGTGTCTTATCCACTTGAAATTGATTGAGAAAACAGATTAATTACTATACATAGTAAAATTAGTTGTAATTGATGTAGAAATTCTCGCAAAATATCTCGCGATAGCATAAAGTATATAAAGGGATCGATCTTTCATTAAACAATACATTTTTCTTTTCTAGAATGCATCATCTTATTTGCGGTGGGCATTGCATGTAGTTCTTTAAGTTACATAATTTACGTTGTGGATCCCATAAACATGTTAATAGAATATGTAAGTATATATAATTAATAGAAGATGTAAATAGCAATGTAAAAAAAGCAAATAAAATGTAAAAAAAAGATCGTGTAAAAAAAAAGTTCTAAATACAAAAAAATGTTTAAATTGATTTATCTTATTAATTAAATAAATCAACTCTTTCTCTAGATTGAAATATTATATCAATTATTTAAAAATAGAAAGGTAATTTTTTGCAGTTTATATATAATTTAATATCTGCGAGAACTGTTTACAATTTATCGACGAAATTGTTACATAAGAGAAAAAGCATTTAAAATAAATAATAAGTTACTATAACATTATATAATATTATAATATTACGCATAATCTTCAAGAAATTTTTTTAGATTGAAAAATTGAAAGAAGAATTTTTTTAGATTGAAAAATTGAAAGAAGAATTAAAAACTTTTTCAAAAATACAAAAAAATTTCTTGAAGATTATGCGTAATATTATAACATTATATAATGTTATAGTAACTTATTATTTATTTTAAATGCTTTTTCTCTCATGTAACAATTTCGTCGATAAATTGTAAACAGTTCTCGCAGATATTAAATTATATATAAACTGCAAAATAATTTTTTTTGATAAAATATGTTTATATTTAAAAAAATAACTTACTATTTTTATAGAATCTACAAATGGTATCGCACTCTTTGCTCTTCTCAATATGGAAGAAACTACCTGTTAATATTTATTTATACGTGTATATATTCAACATTACCAATCCAGAAGAGTTTCTAAGCGGCAAAGAAAAGCTCAAAATTCAAGAGATCGGACCATATGTCTATCAGTAAGCTTATCATTCATAATTATTATATATTTTGTTAACATAAAATATTATTTATATACATGAAATTTGTGAATATTATATATATATATA